TGTCACGTCCTACAACTTCGTCGCTTGCACTTTGCTGCACAGCTGCACCTTCCCAGCTCTCCCCAGTGTTTCCCCGGCGTTTCCTCAACGGGTCGAAGTGAACCCATCCAAGCGCAGACATTACAAAAGGAAACTTTTCTGTAGAAAAAGCATTTATATCATCTCAATTATATTATATACAGACTCTACAGTGTTACAGACTCAGTCTCTTTTCTTGTTTCCCTTTCTTTTTGACACATTTTTCCGCCAGGATCATTTTCATAGACTCATAGACAAGGTGCCTTTGATATCTTTGATTGCTTCTAGACTCGGCAAATCCCTCACAGAGTCAGTTTATGGACAAACTTGGTTGGTGTCTCATTCTTCTTGAGAGCATCCTGAAATCCACCCACCCCATTTTATATGCCGTTTTGGCATTTTATAGGCTAGTTCTCCTGAATGTTCATGTTATAGGCAACAAAGTTTATAAAATGCCTCGAAAGGCACTGAACAAAAAAAGAAGAAGGGGGATGAAATCACCTGTTGGCGCCAAAGGTCTTGAGTCTTAAGCCTAGAAAGGTGTTGTTGAAGATTCTGAACTGACCAACTAGCCTTCCACAGTTCCAACTTGTCATGTTTGTGCACTTGTCGTAATGCCATCTCCGCTCGTATTTCAGAGAAAGACCTAACAGGACCAACTCACCAGCCTGTGCCCTTGTGTGTTAGTTGGGCGTGACCCACAGACTAAAGAATGACTTTGCACATTTTTGCATCCAGTTGTTCTGTTTCAGTCTGGTAGGAGATTTCTGAGACCCCAAATGCCGAGCCCCATCGACCCCAACGTCTCACTCCGGAGTCAAGGTCAGTGACTCAGTGCTGGAGTCCCTGCGTTTGGTGCGCTACTACAACGCCCGGGAGCCTGTGTTTTAGAACTGTGGATGGCCATCTTCGCGCAGACTGTGGAAGATCTTGGAAGTTGAGATGGGACCCGACAATCCAAGGTATTGTGTATGTTTTTTTGAGGAAACACACTGCCCCAGAAGCCCAACAAACCCTCAAGTGGTTTACCCAGATTCGACCAGTTTCCTTGAGGCGCTTTGTATTTCCATGCTTGCTGCCCCAGTGTTTTCCAAGCCAAGAAGCTCACCACAATCTCACCACATAGAAGAACCACCACTATTTGCCATGGGCCACATCCATTTTGCAAAGTTGCCTAGCTGTAATCTGGGATCTTTGCTTCCCAGTTCTTTTTCCAACCAAAACGCGTGCGTCTTTGGACCCCTTTCCTTTGAGGTAGGGCTAGATACGACTCTCACATGGACCCTGCTGGGCATGCCTGGAACCTCAGAGTCGCCAGTTGTCTCACGAAAGCTGTGCATCGCCATGCTTGGTTCGGGGCCTGACTCCTCCGTCAGTGGGGGAGAAGTGCCACCAGCCCTAAAGGTCTTCCGTTTATACCTATGTGCTGCCAGCTAGCCGTCTTACAAAGACAGGAAGAAGAGGACGCTACTCATCGCTACTAGGAGCAAGGACGCTACTAGGGGCTCCTGGCCGTACTACTAGGAGCAAGGACGCTGCTAGGAGCAAAGGGCTACTCTAGCATTCTACTTATACTAGACTCTAGTGAGATCGGAGTTGTGGAGCGTAGGAGCATAGATTGAGGCACATGACGGACTTGCTGCGTCAAAGAAAAGAGCTTTAGAGAAAGGACTTGTGACTTGATCAAATTGTCTAACGTTTCGTTTTTGTGGATGGTTCACCCATGGTGAGTACAATGTCTCAGGAGTTGTCCAAATTAATCAACGTCTTTAAGAAGCACACCAATCCCAAAAGTTTTTGTGGTTTCTCCGCCTCATTTGCTGTGGTGTTTGTTCACTGGAATCTCTTGGAACTGCGCTCCTTTTAAATTGTTCACAGCTTCTCTTGCTACTGAAGGATTCAACCAATGATTTAGGATCTGCCAACAGGCATGCAGGCACACCAACCAATAGGACTTGTGCATGGTTGGTGTGCAGGTTGCAAGATGTCCAAATGTTGTGTAGAGAATAGACAAGACAGCGACAACGAACATCTATATAAACGATTTCAAATTCAGAGAAATGCTGTCATGACATACATAGGACTTGTCAAACTCCCATATTCACTCGTCAAGTCTCATTAGAGCCTAGTATATTGGTGAAAATGTATCAAGAGCAGAGAGTGCTGGAGGTCAACATGTTGTTGGCCATCTCGTGCGCCCACTTTGCACCCCAGCTGGCGGTTTCAACACTAAACTTTGCCCTAGCCACCTTAGCCATGTGGCGTCTCAAAAGGGAGAGGTGTTCTGCGACTCCCAACAAATGGCTGGTCATTTGCTTCATTTCTACTTCTCCTAAAGTTGTGGAGACACACATTCTGACGCGCCAATCGTGCACTCCACGAAAGGCTTCTGCAGTTGTCTTCAGTCTGCCCACCGAGGCTCAGTATTGAGGGCTCCGCGCGACAGTTGGATCCCGAGGTGGACTGTGCCCGCGCGGCCACGAGGCGCCAGCCGCGCGCAGCAGCGTGAGGGCTAGCGGCTTGCAAGCGCCGAGTTCAGGGAACAAGGGGATCTTCCAATGGAACTTGTTTCCTTTTGAGAAAAAATGCGGCAGTTTCCCACCAAAAACAAAGACAGAGACGAACATCAGCGGAATTGATGGTGTGCATTGTGCTGGTCCTTGGGCAGCATTGAAGCTCTATTTTGCTTGTTGACTGAATCTGGTTTGATTGCACATTCGTGTGCTTGGGTGGCCTATGTTTGCTTGGCGGCAGGGCAGGATTCTATTGGTTCTATTGCTGTACAGTGTACAGTCAATGCACGCCTTGTGTACAGTCAAGACACGAGGCTCGACTGGGCAAAATGAAGTATATTTATCCCACTTGATTTCTACTAGCTACTTGTTACTACTAGTAAGGCACTTGTTACTAGTAGCGATGCACTTGTTTCTACCAGCTACTTGTTGACTTGATAGAATAGAAGACATCCGATCCAAACAATCAAGAGGAACAACCGCGGATCCTTGTACCCTTCTTCAATGCAATCATGCAACTGGGATCCGGTCGGGGCGTTGGCATGGATTAAATGAACACTGACCATCACTGACCATTTTGCCAAAGACCAGCCATTGTTTCCACAACTGCCTAGCCAATCATGCAACTTACAACCGGTCATACAACTTGAAATGGAAACAACGAAACCCACCAAAGCGTGAATTAATAACACCATATTATCCATGTTCCGCTTTCCGCTGGGTTTGGCACCTGGCAGGTATATCCTCAACATGCCAAGCCTTTGGAATGAGCTGAGAAGTCATTCTTGGCACACCTCCAGGCCTTCAGCCAGCGGGCTGCGTTGGATGCCAGTGGGCTGTGTCCATGCGATATTTGGTTCTCGCCCATGCGGTGGCATCCAACCACTGGAACAAAAGAGATGCCACAAGACATGAGACGAACTGATATGAACGGCCAATTGTCGGTGGCCCTTGGTGTTTCGTTTGGAGACGACAAACGGCCGGACCTTTGAGGTAGAAAGCACCAAGTTGTTTTCACCCAACTCCATGCCGGCCGTAGAATTCAAGTCTCCTAAGGCACCTTCCGCGTTGGCAGTGACCCAGCCATTACAGCTGAGCCGACTTTTGTTTCATGTCAAAAGGCACAAAGGCCTTGGATCAGTCCTATGATAGCCTGAGCCATTGCGGTGGTCAAACCCACGTTTACGCATTCAAAATCAAAGCTGCTGCTCCATCCCATGATGGCACAAGGCACATGTTTGCTGAGATGTTCCTGACCTGGCTTGGAATCGACTACTGGGCACTGGGCTGAGACGGATTCACCATGTTGAGATTCGCCATGCAAGAACTGTCTAGTTCTTTTAACTCTACATTCAATGAACATCCAGGATCTACTCAATGAGCATCCAGAATCTCGGATTTGTAGGTTCTATTGCTAGCATCAGACCTTCCACTACGCATGGAGCATCGCTGGCAGACAAAACCAGCAACTGCCTGGCACTTTGAGGAATGGCGAAACCGATCCTCCATCTTTGCGAATGTCAAGTGGTGAGGCGGGGCATGGAGCCGTTTTTCGCATGCAGCCGGTGCACCACCCGAAATGGGCCAGTTCTCCGTACAGCGACGATGCACTTGTTCCTAGTAGCTTATTGTTTCTAATGGCTTCTTGTTACTACTAGTAAGGCACTTGTTACTAGAAGCGATGCACTTGTTCCTAGTAGCTTGTTGTTTCTAATAGGTTGCTGTGGATGGAGGAAATCCTGCACTTTGCCTTCGACCCGCTCCAAAGTACAGGGAAATGGCCTATGGTGCAAGATGTGTCCGTCAGCAGAGCATGGGGTTGCTGTTGTATGAACTACACTATTTGAAATGATCATATCCTGGAAGTGGAAAATGGCTCCTTGGACGACAAACAGGCATTGTTTTTGAGGGATATACTCTTCCTGCGCTCTTCCTGTGAGCTACGTACTCTTCCACCAACCTCCCTTTCATGTCCTCGCATTGATGATGTGCCATGCAGAGCTGGCCATTGTCATGTTGGTCGTAGGATTAGCCCACGCCAATTGATCCAGGCAGGATTCAAATCTGGTTGAGAAGCCACGATGGTCATGCCTTTTTGTGCTTGGCCAATACTCCATTTGATCGCTATTTGTGAATCCTTGGCTCATAGGACTGTGGAGCGGAACTTACACGAACTAATTAGAGTCATGAGGGAATTCAAGCAAACAATGCGCACGGTTTGCCAATGAGCACAAGATAGCACAAGCCATTCAATCCAGCCTCCTTGCACAAGGAAGAAAAACGTTGGCTCGCATCCTTGATATTACTCAAAGGCCATTCACACAGCGAGGTGCTCGAAATGAGTTTGGCCCATACCAAATGGGTGTTCCTCCCACTTTCCTGGTGAAGATGCGGAACTGGCGGATCCCCTGCCTAAGCACACCGTTTGCTCACTCCACTGAAAACTGTTTGCCCTGAACATTTGGGTGGCAGAAATCAAGCAGAGTTGCGCATCGTCAGCACAGTTTCGCGACCCTTGAGCCATTGGCTTCGAGAAGAACGCATGGAAGAGAAGACCTTGGCAGAGATCTTTGTTCCTCAGTCGCAGAAACGATGTTGATGATCTCTCCAGATGGGCCAGACCGGCCAGACTTTTGATTGAAACGTCGGTCTGGGAGGAAGCCTCACGGCTTCAAAAGCATGTCACAATTGGAGGAAGCCTCACGGCTTCGCTTCGCTAGAATCAATGGTTATCCTTAGCATTCCTTGGAAATTCCTATCAGATCAATGACAAAGGTTGCATGTTCATTTGTGTGTTGATCATGCTGAATCTTTCTTGGCTACAGGAAAGTGGGGGTGCTTATGCTCGAAGCAAAAGATCCCCCGCTGTTTTATTGCACATCGATGCAGTTTTCCCCTCCCTGTCTCTTCCCGCAACTAGTCTCAGGACTTCTTGGGCTTCGGGCGCTTCCAGACGCATGGCCCATGCATGGCGAAGCATTTTTCAAAGAGCAAGAAGCTACTAGTAACAAGTGCATCGCTACTAGTAACAAGGGCATTGCTAGTTGCAAGAAGCTACAAATAGCTATTTGCTACTAGTAGTAGTGCCCTTGTTCCTAGTAGCGATGCCAGGCCAGGAGCTACTAGGAGCGTCCTTGCTCCTAGTAGCGATGCCCTAGTAGCACCCTTGCGGAAAGCCATGAGAACTTCATAGAACTTCCAAGGTTCCGTTTTTTCATGCGATTCCTTCAGATTCCTTGGCATCAAAAGTCGTGAAATCGCTTAGCATCCTTTGAATGAGATCGTCCGTGTGCTGAATGAAACTAAATCGATTCATGAGTGAATGTTCACAAGAATTTCAAGAAAGCAAACTTGGATTGAAGAGCATTGCCATAATATGGTATGTCAAGACGTTTCAAACCCTCCAAGTCCATTGGAGGTGGTGAGAACTCCAAGGCTCTGATCCCTGCTGAGAACTCTGATCCCTGAGGAAATGTTTGCTGCTGATCGCTGGACTGGGCTTCATGGCAGATGCCATCGAAGTCGGCCGCGCGTCAACGATCGGCCGTGCGTCGCACGTCCCGGGCGGAATGGCGTTGCAACGGGTGTTGGGGGTGTTTTCGCTGTCGATTGGACATGAAATGAAAGGATCACCATAGGCAAGTTAGTGAATTCTGCAATTAGTCCATCAATACACCCAGCAATACCCAGCATGTTTTAGAGTATTTAGCAGTTTTATGTACAATCAACTCAGCTGATTATCACACGTTTGGTTGGGAAAAACCCGCACAGGCACGGTTGGGACCTGACCCTGACAATGTTGAAAGGATTCCGCTTCAACTCCAACACAAAACTACTTCAAGTGACAGGATCACCCAACTGAGAAGTGAGGGTTGAACTTTTTTACCAATAAGTCGGTTCACACCCACCGACTGACGAACTGCGGGTGACGGACGCAGCAGGGCATATTAATTATTGGCAATGATGACTTACCCCGAAAGCGGACGCAAAAAAGCCAGCTGAGCCTAAGGAGTCATTACGTTCTTACTGCAGAAGGTGACAGAGGAATGGCCAGAAGTGAAAGGCTCCAGTCGGGCCGGTCGAGTATGGCTACACAATGTTGTTTTCTTCGAGTGTGTAAAGGATAACAAAAATAAATAAATAACAAACATAGAGGTGAGAGTCATAGTGTCATTCAACATGGAGGGCTGCCAGGAATCAGGTGCTCTTTTTGTTCAGCACAATTCTTGAAGTTAAATTCCTTGACGATGCTAGCTTCTTATATGGGGATATGGCTATAGGCTAGGCTGTGGTTCACAGCCCGGGACTAGTCCACTCGACCAAGGTGGACAACAATGTCAACAGACCCCAACAGGTGCGTTTGGTGTTGATTCTTAGTTGAGTCATATGATTAGTCACAACTAGGATCAACTAGGTAGGTTTGCATTTGGCTTGCATGTTATCACAAAAAAATCCAGCGCATGTTTTCCAGGCTGGGAGCTCAATGCTTTATCCACCAGCGTTTTTAGCACAAAGTTGTGGCTCGGCAAAACACGCGTCCACCGAAGCCTTTGCGTTGGTGTTCGCGCCGTCGGCCCCCCCAGTCACACTCACATTTGGACAAGTGTAAGCACAATGGTCCAAAGTCAAGGTCAAGCTGTTGGGTGTCCTATTACTCCGACATCCCATTTGAATGTTTGCCTTTTTCATCAATGCCGAGGCTTGGTAGTTGGATTTGGGGCAGCTTATCCGACCACTTGGGTCGGAGGCGCAATGGGCCAGTCGATCACGGGAAGAAAGTTGTGTAGTGTGTGCAGGGGAGAAGGGAGACCGTTTCGATGGGTCTCATGGATGATGTTTCAATCCAACGAGGATAGAAATCAGTAGACATGCTTTGTCCCATCTACACGAGTTTGCCATTCGGACGGAGTGACCGAGCTCAGATGCAGAGGCGCACCTTTTTGATCGCCAATGTCTTCCTTTTGACGACCGGGTGCTTGTCCGCTGCAGCTCCCTCGTAGCTGTTGCTGCAAGCGATTCCTGTCGTTTTGTTGAATGGCCTCTTGGTGCCTCGCAGGCAGGTCATCGCTACTAGGTTGGAGGCCATTGCTATTAAGTTGGGGCAGATGATGCTCAGTCGTGGGGCCAAGTCGAGCGCCACCCGGCTGTTGGTTCTGGAAAGCTGCAAAGCTGGAAAGCTGTGACCCAAGTAGCTGCTCTGACCGTGTTCTTCCTTTTCTTATGCAGAAACGATGTTTTGAGAGATCTCAATTCCGTTTCCCGACAAAAGCACAAATTCGCACCATTCCTTCCGAGGTATTTTTGGCTTGTGCTGGCACGTGCATTGGTTGGCCTAGCGATCGGAGGAATCATTGTTCCTTTTGATAACCTGGCAGACACTTTGACGCATTGGCTAATAGTAAAAAGTAGCTGTGTTGTTTCGCTATGTTTCGCTCGGGTATTGAGGGCCCAAACAAGATGTTTAATAGTATTCACGCGGAATCAGATTGACTCGCTTTTTGTGGTCATGCTTTGGTGAACACACTGCATACAAGAACATGCTACTGCCTGACACCTCACACACCAAAAATATCGACACAATATGGATGAGGATCAAGTCTAGATTTGAACCCAAGCATGCATCCAACCTGCTGGACCATGCATTGCTGCTCCTCGGTGTTTCACATTCCGATGTCTAGGACACAAAGGTCCTAGTAGATTCCTTTGCTAATTTGAATTCTAATTAACTTAATTCTAATTGATTCTTGTTACTACTAGTTACTAGTAAGGCACTTGTTTCTACTAGCTTCGTGTTACTAGTAGTAAGGCCCTTTGCCTCAATGTTTCACTATATACAGTAAGTTTATATTGTCCTATCATTTCACATGTTGTTCAATGGGGTACAAGAGAATTTGGCTGGGATGGTTGAACATGTTGAAACAAATAATGGTGTTTGTACTTTGCGGGACCGGTTACTTTTGATGCAAAAAAATTGGAGATGGCTCGCACCGAGGAGAGCGTGCCAGAGAGATTCTCTGGAAGTCTTTGCTTCGCTATCGAGTATTTTTGGACGTTCCAAGACCGCAGCGAGGGCATGTTCATCCGGGGCCACTGGACAATGACTGGGGTAATGCAGTCATGGGTAGAGTTATATATTTGGGTCTTTTGGTCCAAATGAATAGTGGCCGTGGTCCTCAGACTTTTTACGACCCGAGATCCTCTCGACTCAAGCGCGGCTGCCCAGTGCGGTGTCCCCCGGCAGCATGGTGTCCTATTGGGTCTTCGGTCACACCGTTTGTCCGTTTCTTTTTTCTCGAAGATCACCGAAGCAAGGCCTGTGTTTGAAGCCTAAACCAGGTCTGCAGCTGGCTCCAGCTGCCTTTGTAGCGAGCTATATTATACCCACTCATAACGTGCAGACGGACATAGAGTGACTGGATGTGAAATAAGCAGTTGGTTTTGGAAAGGAAGACGGAGTGTGAGTTGCAGACTTGGAACATATGCCGGTTACCGATGTCAGTAGCTCATGTTCCAAGGCGGTTTCTTTTCTCATTGAAGAGATGGACAGGAACAACAAAAACAACAAGCTTTGTACCAGGATCCTGTTAGAGTGGGACCCAGAATTTCAACGCAAGGTTAGGAACGCTCTACTCCAATGGCTTAGCCGCTTTGGTCATCGAGTCCTGCGGATGGAGGCATGGCACAACGCTCGCTCGACGTGGCACACGTTGGCCCGCCTGCACGGTTTCATTGGCTTCCGGCAACATGGTGTTGTGGTTTCTTCAGAACATGAATCATGGGGGGAGAGGAGAAGGACGCGACCACGGAAGAGGATTGACATTTTTGCATAACCTGGGAGAATGGACTCTTGAAGCATAACCTTGGATGTAGTCGGGGCGTTGAAGCTGGCTCCCCTGTCGTGTCCAGCTAGTTAGCTAGTTCTCAGTTGAACTGTATAAGTGTATATTAATTATTATGTAGTGGATCATAGCCTGCTGCAGGTTAGTGATGGGATTTGGGTGCAACTCCTCAGGGTTCTTCTCGTGGCAGGATATACCTGCTCTTGAGTGCACTTCCCATTTTCCTTGCTTGTATCGGCTACTTCTTCTTGGAGGAGACTGCAGAGAAAGCTGAGAGAGTAGGAAACCAAAACCTCTCTCATAACATTTCGGCTGTGCTTGTGCATAGTAAAATACCTGAAACTCGTTGACTTGTGAACTATATAGCATGAAAGTGTTGGAGTCCCTGCAAGTACAACTTCAGCCCTTTGGGGTCAAACAGCAAAAATTGCATTCAATGGAACCGGATTGTGCATCCTTGACAGGCAACCGACTATGATCTGAATGGAATAAACTCCTTGCACAAGCTTAGCATGCACCTGAAACAGAATACATCAGAAGTGCGGTCCGCGTGCAAGGTTAGTTGTGTACTAGAGTCTCTCACACACAGTTAATGTTATGTTTGGCTAACTTCACTTGCCTCACGAAAAAATAGTAACCAAAAACCAAACGAAAGTTCTTGTGTGGGCATAATGTGTGGTGCAAGCATCATGCATGGCACAAAGATGTGCAAAGAGTGAAACCTATCTGTGGTTGCTGCCCGATCACCAAACTATCCTAACAGCACATGCACATCTTGGCCACTCGGTAATCCTTTTGGGTGAGAGTTCCCATGAGACAACCATGGGTGTTGAATTCCCATGACACAGTTTGCGTTGCGTATTGTCAAATCATCTAATGAAGTGTCCACTACTTGTTCATTGTCAGAAATGTGAACATGTCCAGCGGCCAATGGGTAACTGCGCCTCCGGTGCAAATCCATCCTAAGCCAGGAGAGTCCCATGTGGCTTCTTGATCGAGGCTATGATTATGAAGCTTGGCCAGTAGTTGCATTCAGCCCTGTCTGTGCTGAAGAGTGGGAACCCGGCCCTTCACTGTCGGTCAGCCGCTTCTCTCTCTCTCTATTGTATTTGTTTATGCCTACGCCACAAATAAGATCAAATAAGATCAAATACGAATACATTCGTCATAGTATTGTAAAAGAAGATGTGTTGCTACAAACATTGAACATTTCGTTATGCCTGTCGCTTATTCGATTTCTCGGTGATTTGATCGCTTCGATCATAGCAGTGACCCGACCCTTTCTTTGAGCGGGAAGAACCACCGGGAAGCGATCTATGGTACTTCCTGGAACCAAGCTCTAGATGTTAGGAGAAACTATGGTTCCTTGCTTCCTTGGTCGGTCTTCCTTGCTTTCATGCTCTGAGGAAGCCTGGCAAGTGCTGCAAAGGATTGGTCACATCAATCGCAAGGAGCGTACAATGGGTCACTGCATCGCTGCGGGAAAAATATAAATAATCGGTGGATTAGATGGTCCTTGGTCATTGGTCACTGAAACTGGTCTACCAAGTCTACTCAGTCTCATGTGAACTGTGTTGAATTTACCGGACCGGACGTGGTTGGGAAAAGAACCGTGCCCACACAGAAGGATCAGCCAAATTAGCGATATTTGATTTTTCTGTGTATGTTGTGTTGTTGTCCATCCTCAATCAATTGCTAAAACTTCAGACATGAATTGTTAACTTAAGCATGGAACTTGTCAACTTATCCAAAACCAGCATTTGATGTTATTGTCCTTTCCTAATTTGGATAGGTTGACAAGTTCACTGGTTATAGACAAACGGATTCTAGAACATGCTTTGCTGTTATATCAGGGGATCCTCGTTCCCAGTGGGCCTGATTTGGTGTTCGTAAGATGCTTGCTGTATTTTGATGATAATGCAGAGAGTATGCAGAGATCACAACTACCTGACCTCCTTGCTGCACTGATCATGCTTGTGACCAACAGCTGTTTTTTGGAAAGCACTGGACATTAAAGCAAATTCCATCCATTTGTTGCATATGGACTTCATGATGTCATTCCCCAACAAGTCATCCTTGTCAAATCCTCAGTCACCGCTTTGTTTGACAGGACTTGAGTGGTATGGCTTTGGTGTCCTACGCCAGAGAGGCGGATCCTTCATGCAAAGAACTGCTCGTTCCTCGGTCAAAGAAGCGAGTCAGATTCTGTGGAGAGCATGGATAAACCCACTTAAAAGAGCTACAAGCATTTGTGTCACCTGGGCAAAAACAGCTGAACGTTGTGCTTAGAATAAGGGTTCTTTATGTCAGCATCGATCATTTCTTTTTAAAGTTTTGTTTGGCTGTTGCTGAGGATACCCGAAATGACTAGCGGCTAGTACCGTCGGACATTTAAGCATCTTTAAACAGCTTAACATCGATTCCAGTGTCTACACCCGGTCTATCAATGAAGAGGATCATTTGAACAGGCACGCCCACCACGCACCTTTCACGTCGGTCAGTTATTTCAGGGTGAAAAAGCTCCTAGTAGCTTCTTGTTCCTAGTAGTACGGCCAGGAGCCACTACTAGCGTCCTTGCTCCTAGTAGCGATGCCCTTTGCTCCTAGTAGCGTCCTCTACCCCCCAATTCCGGCGGTCCTCGCCGCCCCCACGTTCTGCCGCTGAAACCGCCTGCAATGCCCTTTCTTCGCCCTCGATGAACACGCCGAGGTTCCCTCGCTGCGGCGGAGTTTGGTCTCTTTGGGTCTCTTGGACCGGCATGATGATGTTCAGACCGTCCGTTTTGACACCAGACCAGACCCAGACAGAGAGAGAGAGAGGGAGGTAGATAGATGGATAGATAGATGGATAGATGGATAGATAGAGAGAACGTTTATATAGTCAACGAGATACTTTGTTGGATGACACTAAAGTAGTCTGAACGAGTGCTGTGATCTGCTACTAAAGTAGTTGGACAGAGATACAGTGACATCACCTCCTACTAAAGTAGTCCAAACATGTCTAAACGATATATGGCCCCACCACATAATGGATAGTGCATTTGACTTGAGTCACAAATCAATGCCGCCGCTCGTCGTTGGGTGTCTAGGGACGTCGTTGGGCGTCTTCGACCAGCGCGGACGGATTTTGGGCGTCCCACTAGGTCCCACTTTTGCCATCCCAACAAGCCGATTTTGGATCCGTTCGTTTCGCTTGGTGATATTTTCAGGACGTTTTATCAAGAGGCACAAAAACACTCTTGGACAATAGGGCTTCTTAGTCCAGTGATATATAGATTCTTTCCGTTTGACAGGCATTATTTGGTGGTTGGGACTCTTCGGCTATTACGGTGCGTCCTTGGGAAGCTTGGTGTTAGGAAGCGTTCCTGGGGCTGACTGTGGCAGTCATGGCTTGCCTGATGATGGCCCCTTCAATGTTTCTGTTGAATGGAAGAAAGCTGGACTCTTTAGGCTGAGCTGGTTGAGCATCAATTTGTCAGCCTTGCCCGAGAATCAGCGTTTGTGGACTGATTTGATCGATATGCAATGTTTGCAAGAATACATACTATAAACAGAAGTAAGGACATATGATAACAATGTGTGCTCAGCAGGTAGTTCAGCTATTTGCTATGCTATACTGCTATAACACTGGCCCACGGACATCCCTCCTTATTTGCCTGCCCTCCGCTGATGAGAATGTCATGTCATCATGTTGCTGAAATATTAGGAAGTGGCCTGATATTCGAAACATCAGGCTCCTTCGACTATGGAGCCTTGGCACTCTAAGTTGTTAGATATACTTTTCCAGGACTGGCTGCCATGCTCAGGTGCCAGTTGGAGGTTCGGCCACTACATCCTTAATGGAACGCCGCTATAGCTATATTATCCATTGTACTGGCCTAAATATGCAACCCCTGAAAAGTATGCTGGGGTTATCGGTTATATAGATATTATGAATTATGATAAACTATATGTTGTTCTTTTTCTATATACATAGTTTTGGATAGCTAAATGGGATTGAATCAAAGCATGAATCCGCAGGGTGTGTGTGTGTGTGTTGTGGAGTGCTCATGTTCTCCTCGGCATTTTGTATGCTCCTGTTCTTGCTACACCAAAGCGTCTTCAGAAGGGTGAGAAAAGTTCGTGCAGCTTCACACAGCCAAAGCCTCAACAAGCTCATCAGATTTCAGTATTTACTTTGCTATAGTGTCCTCATTTACCTGTTTCATGCCGCCATCATCGTCCATGGCGCTGAACAGTGAACAAGAACCCGGCCCAGGCGAGATCATTTTCGCGAGCCTCGGGGAGATTTTGGGCGTCACCATGGGCATGTGCATGTCCTGGCAGATTCCGGTGACTGTGCTACAGCCCTGGTACTACCTGGCCACCTGACGAAAAGGATTCCGAAAATGATCCAGTCTTTTGATGTTTTGAATCTACAAGAAGACCTATTGTTGAATGTTCCAATAGTTTTGTTTAGTTTAAAATCACCTTTTTGGTGAAAGCTTTGGCATCCAGATTCCAAAATGAATAGATGATAGATGTGACGATCTATGGGTTATATATGTGTTATTGGAGTATGTGTATGCTCCAACAATAGCGGAGGCCCCATTGATCTCTCATGTCAACTTTTTGGTACGCTCCGGCTCTCTAACATGAAATGGGAACGTGGCTGCTGGAAGACTAACAGGGAGCTGTCCACTTTGATGGAACGTGAGTGTCGAGCTCATCGTCTCCCAGTCGAACGAATTGAAATTCCTCAGCTTTTGAAACAGGAAATATCCGGTGCAACCGAGGTCAGCACTCTAGCCTGTATTGCTGTCCTTGTAGCACATGCTCTCAAAGGCTTGCCGGATCGAAGCTGCCACGCGGACGATAAGCACGCGGTTCCACGCGCACTTGCGTAGTAGCTCGTGCGCAGAAGAAAGCAAACGAATCAAATGAAGGCAAGCGAGTCTTAGCCACATGTATACGTATACAGTATTGTGGTTTTTGCTTGGATGTGGTCCTTTTTGGTCTTCCAGATCAAGGGCATCATTCGTAGTGCCAAACTGTGTGTTGAACCGATTGATCGCACAGATCGATGAGACCATGGACCGGATGACTAGCTGACTGCAATCACTAAACAAAGAAACTGGCAGGGATAAAGTGGCAAGCAATTCCGATCTGAACACATGAACTTTGCAACGATCCTCGCAAATCATTCCCAGTCACTCTGAAGCCCACTACGCTGGCTTCCCCTCAGCAAGAACCACAGGCTCCGCCCTGCTTCTTGGGGTCTTTGCCTTCATTTTGCGAGCGGCCAGCATGGGTGCCATCTCAATCACCTGGGTGCTCACACCGACGGCTTTCCCAACACACGTGCCTTGCACCTGCCGTCGCCGTCGGGTGCGAGTGATGGAGAACACAGCGAGCTGGCGAGGTAGCCTCCAACCTACTAGCGATGACCTCGAATAGAAAAGGACGCAAAGGACAGTTAACACAGGATGGTCAGTCCTAAGGGAATTTTACCCGTGTATCATGTTGATATATGTTGATTGTGGAGATTGACATACATATGACCCACAGGCATGGTTGTGTCTTTGTCCTTCCATGAGTTCCGGGCCAGGTGTTTGATGATGCTTGGGTCTTGACATTGTACATTGGGGTGATTCGTCATGGTGCCATCCCAGCATGAATCAAGCATCCTCATGAGTTTGAGGATGGACTAGGCACTGGCACACAGTTTTTTTCACAGTAGGCTGGAACTAAGGTTAAGGGTCCCACCTACAGTGCGTGTTGGGTCACAGTTCCGTAGTTTCGGGTAAGCACCTGCAGATGTTCAACCCGAAAGTACTAACCGATATCATAGTTTCATATAGTTTGTCTCAACTCAATCCAGCAAATAACTAGCTTGGCAGCTAGCAGCATGTTTGCATGTTTTGTGGCAAGCCTGACTGCAGCATATGAATCATATGAATGGATCACTAGGACAAAAACTCAGTAGTATGTTCATCGTGCGTCCTCTTTTCATGTAAGAATTGATGCATGGACATGTTGGCTGGGCTAAACCAGAACAAGACAGCAGAACCTTCGCTTTCATTCTCCATCCGATCCCACACGGATCTTTCGATTGATGAACGTCCTTGTCACAACTCGTCACATGCTCATTCAAGTTGATGCCTCACCAATACCAAAGTGCTGAAAATGGCATTGGACCTCCCCCCAGCTGTTCTCCAACTTTCAAAGTACAGCGGTCCACCCGGCGAAGCGGTGTTGAGGTGCGCTCCACGGCCCATAGCATTTTGTATGCTGCAGGATCCTTAGGACTGGGACTTGGAGTGGATCAACATAAGTCACTACGGTGCTTGTTTCGCCTCCGGCCTTTAATAACAATCAGAAGGTGGGAGGCTTTTGGTGACCAAGATCCTCAGGCAAACAGTCTTGGTGAGGGCTTGATCTCCATGAGTGCTCCATCTCCTTGCTCCCCTACGCAGAAAACGCTCTCTACGGAGCCTACCGTAGGACCTGTTTGCGCGACACTCTGGCCAAAGAATACACAGCTGGCTGTGATCATGGGAAGCTACGGTGCGGCAAACCTGGTTTGTGCCATTGTCAGCCAGTGGCAGCGCAAAGGGCTGGCAGAGATGCTCAGCTCAAGAAGCAAAAACGCCATTGAACAGCCATCCAGTCAACACAGTATATAATTGCGTCGTCCTGCATCGGACTGCGTCGTCCATGGAGCCAAGCGTATGCGTCGTCCGGCGTCCCTCCGTCGTTGCGTCGGACCGCATCGATGTTCCCCGAGGCGCGGAGCCTTCGATTCCCTCATCTCAGACCTCCATGCCTCCAACTTGGAACGCCGCGCGCGCTCCTCCATCACCCGCGACAGCCGTGCAACTGGGCAAGTACGACCGGGCGAAGGGGGGCGAAAGGTTCGAGTGGTTCGCCCAGCATTCCACGTGGTTGGTTCAGGGAAAAACCTTGTGATGTGTGGAAGCACAATTCCACAATCTCAAGGTGAACCTCTTGGTCAGCATTAGGGCAGCCCGGACAAATTTGCCTCCAAATTCTGGTTTGGGAAGCGGAAACAGGTGCATTGTCGAGTTCTGTTTGCAAGAATACCTAAGTCTCCCTTCTTGTAGCAAGCCTGTGAGTTGGCTTCGGATCAAAGACTGTTTGTGACCACTTCCAGAACGTGACACTACCAGAATGAACCAAAGAAACAAAGGTGTCCCAGCTAGTGTTGTAACTTGTCCAAAGCCGCTCCCAAAGCAAAACTCTCGAAAAGACTGATCCCTCAGATCGATGAGTTCAGATCGATTTCATGGATACTGGCGTTTAGCAGAATGTCACATGGGCCCAACCAGTTGCGGTGGTGTTTTCTACCCTCTTGCCAACTTGGTGCTTAGACTGGAAGTTTGAATTTGAATCCACGGTGCCTGAAGGCGTCACGGCCCACCTGGGCCAGCCGCCCCAGTTGGATGAGCCGCCCCAGTTGGTCAGAGCGCAGCGGATCGCAGCTGCTCCGCGAGTGAAAATGGGAGCGAAGCGGAGAGCTGCCAGTCGGGTTGCTAAAATCCGTTATATGTGTTTGGGCATGTTTGGAGGGTGTGACACACTCACCCAATGTTGGGGGGGATGTGGGGGGGCCAAATATTGGTTTGTCCCGGCTGGATGAGCACCAGGAGGATTGTGCAATGTCAACTCCTTTGTTGGGTTCACCAAGCTCGACGGTCCGAGCCTGAACGTCCAGCTGCGCCACAGGACACCAGTGAATGTGAGAGGTGGCTGAAAACTGGCTTGCTGTGAATTATTTGTTTCAACAGTTGCCCAACCTGTGAAGAAAATAAAGAGCCGTTCACGCTAACCGCTAACGCTTCCAAGTGATGCTAGCCTAATAACTGGGAAATAATGCCCATATTCCTCGAATCAACCTTAACGGTTTTCATTTACTTGGTTCACAAATTCCTACAAATTCCTACCACTGAAGATGCTGTTCTCTCTTCGAAGGCGATGAAGTGGGTGATCCCCAATCCCAACCAATGTGACTGCTGAAGTTCCAAATGATATTCATCATGTTTTGCTCACACATTTTGCTCACCAAACTAATGAACTAACCACCTTGTGTGTTTATGTCAACTGATTCTTCCTTTACAGGTGCTTGGCCGCCGGTGGTTGCACAGCTTTGCTGATGGAAAACCATTGGACCAAAGCGACGGCTGTCCGATGTTGGGATTTAAAAGGTGCAGCTGCCGGGCAGTGGTGAGCAGTTGTGTAGGTGATCACTGTGGGAATTCTCAAGAAACGTCCAGAACTTTCTCCAAAATGGTGTTCATTGGTTCTCCCTCAAGATATTCAAGATGTTGTGTGGGAACTGGCGCAGTTCCTGCTTTTCACATCATCAATCTTCGTGCAAATCCTCGTTTTGTGACGACCTGCAGGAGGCCGTTGGGCGCGGTCTTCCCATGTTTGGCATTCCTGTTTGTGCTCCATTGCTCCTCCATATTCTTTTGCATTTGGCTTTGCTTTCCCGCTTTTCGCAGATTTGCAAATTGACATTGAAGAGATTGCCCCGATCAAAGAGTTTGTGAGGTTTCTTTGCAGTCCAGTCCATGACCAGTCCGGTGACCGATCGGACCGATCTCGATGGTCCATCAAGTTGTTCTTTTCCCAGAAGTTGGTCTCCAAGAGATACTCGTGAGTACCTCACTACGATAGTCTCGGTCTTTTTCTCAGAGGTCTATCCCTTGCACGGCTTCGGCAATCGAGGCGCTCGCGGAAAACGATCGCAGCTCCAAACCGAACTTGGCTCCAGATCGAGCCGAGCGATGCTCCACATCGGTATGTAGAGGCGGCAATCTCGAGGCATATGCCAACCAGGACTGTGGACCGTGGGAAGGTTCGGAGAAGGAAAGAGGAAGGTCAGAAGGTGGAGCCCTGAAAAAGCATCGAGCAGATGTTGACTCAGATGTTCCTTGCTGGCTTGATGTTGCATTCTTTGAAAGAAACCAGTGACTGGTTGAGTTGAACCCACTCTGTGTATCGAACAGGGGGTTTTGCATCTCCAAGTTTGGACTTTGTCATTTCACTTGGCACAGAAGCGGCTTCGGCTCAAAAGACACGTGGGCAAGAATGTGATGATCCATTCCGACTGATTTGTAGGATCTATGTGGGCAACCTCGACAAAGACATGCCGCCTGAGAAGGAGGCAGCGGGCACAAGAAGCCGGAAGCTGTACCTTTAAATTCCTTTAAAGAGTATTTAACGATGAAATTTGCTGTGTTACACCTTTAAAGTTGCATGCCTTTGTTATAGAGCTGATAGACGTCTAATAGACGTCCATGTCCATATGTACTCTATACCAACATGTGCCAAAAACTCCACACCTTTCAAGCTGAAATGTCAGCTTGCGCTTTCAGGAACTCGCCCGGAAGTTCAAGAAGTATGGCGAGATGGTAGACGTTTGGGTGTCAAGACAGCCACCAGGCGTCCCGTCGGGATGAAAGGCGATTTTCACGATGAAAGATGCTTGGGCTATGTGCACATTCCAACAAACCCTTGGAAGGCGTTGTTTTTCCTTTACATAGGAGGGTGTCCGTTTTGGTGGATTGGTTTGGCTGGTTCCCCTTCCATGTGCTTGACTTCAGTGGAAAGCCTGGAAAGCACGTCACCGGGTCTTGGTCGAAAGGATTCGCCTTTGTGACCTACGAGACCTACAAGGACGTGGCGGTGCCCAGACTGGCTTGTTTTGACATGTCTTGACATGTCTAGTGGATATACCCCCGGATACGCTCATGTTTGATTGAGATCCAGATTCCGAAAAGGACTGATTCATATCTCATTATCATTAGACACGCCCATGTTTGGTGGGGTCCAGACACTTGATATGACACCTATCAGACCTAACATGGCACCTATCACCTTTGTGGGCCCTGTCCCCTTTCGATTCCTTTTACGCTGGTCATGGTCCTGGTGTCGTTTTTCAGGCCTTGAAGGCCATCGAAGGGATGGACGGGGTGAAGTTCCAGGCGACGGTTTTCGAGCGGCGGATAGCGGATGGAAGCGGCACGAGCGGTCGCAGCCTGGGGAACGGCGAAAAAGGGTGATGGCTTCATATGGCTTCCTATGTTCTGGCATCCAAACCACCCTGAAGACGGGACTCAGAGAGGTGTTGTGAAGATGCCAAGGGCCAAGCCTTGAGCGGAGAACAGTGAAGAACAGTGACACTTGTGGGAAAGTCCATGTTCAACAAACTGTTCAACAATCAAATCCATGTTCCAAAGCATTCGAAGCTCTGTTATATCTATCAATGCATGGATCTACTGGTGAGCCTCTTCAGGTTTCCCTCTACATCCACTCTACATCCCGGAGCTCTGGCAAATCCATTTGATCCGGTATGTTTAACATGTTTTAACATGTTTAACCCTGTTCAACAAAAGCAGCGCCTTGTGGAGACCAGTTGAGTTGCAGCTAGACAAGGTCCTAGAAGTGCTACTCGCTTGCTTCTTTCTGACAAGTTGACTCACATTGACTCACCCTGCTTGCTCATTGCACTGTGCGCATGTGTCGTGGGGGGGCAGGGCGCACGATAAAAGGCACGTTTAAAATGTGATTCTTAGCATTTGACATTTGATGACATGTGTTTTTTGGATACTCCTAGTCTTGAATTGGCGTACCTTCAATTGGGCATGGAGGTCCTGAACAAGGGCCTAGGTTGGATGTCAAGTCAATGGCTGCCTGGTGTTTTTGGGGTCCAGGTTGTGTGGATGTTGGCAAGATGAGCTGCAAATCCCTATTGCTGAATGTAACATTCCTCAGCGATTCAGCGCTGAAGCGCTGTTTTCTTTGGAGCCGTCGCAAGCCCGGTCCACCGGTCGCCGGACTTAATTAGTCATTAGTCCCTTCGGGAAGCCTGAAAGCATCTGAAAGCACTTGGGGGTCCACCAGTTTCGATTGGAGGGGAAGACCCTCAACATCCAGCTCTCCATGGGCAAGGGCGGCGGCTTTGCTGGACTGGCCCGCGGCGCCTTTAGGTTTTGGGAGATGAAGTGAAAACAATTGATGACATATTTATTGATGCGTTTACTTTGGAGGTCGTTGTATGACTATACTAACTATATATATATATTTATGATATGATATGATATGATTATGATATGTTATTGTAGGATAATCATGGATGATCATCATGTAACTATTTGGAGAATTGAACAACTTTGTTTTTGTGTGTTTTGTTGTGCCTTTGTCTTTTCCAGTGTGTGTGAGATGGATTTGTTTGCGGCGACCTGCGGCCTCGAAACCGAAAGCCTTCCTTGTGTCCATTGCTTGAAAAACAAATTGGGAAATCACCAGCTCAGGTGGCTCTGGGAAAGCCTTTTACCTTGGCACGTTGAAACGACATGTTCTTCAATCATTTGGGTCGCAGCTGCCGTGGCTTCAGGAGCATCTGCTCAGCCTCCCACCAAACCCAGGCACGGGGGCCGGACCTCGACTCCACTACCTAAGACCTTCTACTCCACATCCACTCACACAATGTCCTCCTCGAACGAATTGGTTCCTCCTCAGTTGGCTTTTTTTGCATGGTCAGGCGTAGCCCACGCCGTAGTCCCAGCCGGAGGCAGGGTGGCAAGCCGGGTGTGGGGTACGGTGAGGAGAGAGGCTTTTTGATGTGCACTGAAAGAAGCACATGGAATCGAAAAACACCCGGTTTCTAGAGGAGTTCTCGCTCTTCCAAAGCACCATATTTATCAGACTCTGTGTGTGGTGGCTGGCGTATTTTTCGAGGTTGCATCTCTATACTGTAATTAAACATATTATACATGTGCGTTAGTCAAATACATCGACGTTATATGCATACACAGAAACTGAGTGTTTGGTGTGTCACGGACATTCATGGAGTATTGGTGGACATGGTGGACCGATTCCACCACAGAGCAATGGCTACCAGAATGGCCATGAGTATTGCATGGCAGTATCGTATACCAAGCTGCACCACTAGTATTTCATGGTTCCCAGCAGAACTTTGTCCACACATTCTCAAAGAGCTTTTTTCCTGCGAGGCGCAGCCGGAGCCGGCACGCCAGACGCAGTCCAGAAAGGAGAAGTCGGAGTTGTTGGATGCCGGTGTGATTCAAAGCACCAAAGCCCGTCCTGATTCACTAAAATGTCTCTAGAGAAGTGCTGTGCTGTTCACTAAAATGTCCTGATTCATTTCAAGTCTGTGCTGTCTCAAGAGATGTGTGCCTTCTCTTTGCACCCATCGAGGTGGTCGGATGTGCGGATCCATCCGACAGGCGGCTCAGCATGTCTCGGCTTCGCCCAGGAGACGAAGGGATCGAAGCCACTCCCGCTCAGAGTCCCCAAGAAGGGACAGGTGCGGTTCGGGGCCATGTAAGGGTGATCGACACCCTCTACGGCTCAACACAGGAGCATCAGCATCATTCTACTCCGTATCATGATCTTCCACATCACCTCTATGGAGTATGAAGACACTTGGGAATGAGCTCTCATGGTAATGTTCAAAAGGACGCAACAATGTAAGGCACACTGTCCAAAGAGACGCGACAAACACTTTTTCCCCTTGTAAAGAGTTCAATGGCCAGCACAATAGGTGTCATCAAGTTTCAGGCAGGCAATCTTCCGTGTTTCGGGGGTCCAAAAGCCAGAGAACTCTCCCCATAGCTAGCCTGAAGAAAGCTATCCTCATAAACAACCCCTCCATACACATCCATACATCAATCTATTTGTTTGTTCACCAAGCTTCTCCAGAACTCATTCGCTTCGCCACGCAGGGGCTCCCCGTCCTATGGCCGGTGAGTGGCGAGGCGAGAGGCGACATGGGGCCTTGATTGGACGTGGGAAGCTGTCAACAAACTCGTTGGGAGTGGCGGGTCTTCTT